GGCGGTGGCGGTGGTGATTGAGCCTCCATTATTGCGATGACAAGTCCAGTCAGGCGCGACAGCACTGTCGGGGATGTGCAAACGAGGCCAGCAATGAACTATGAACACATTGCATGGGTGCATGCGGAACTATTCACTATTTGTTCTCTGATTTTCTGGAGCGGAGCAGCACACAGCGGGATACTATGCAAGTGATGCTGACACAGCCCGCTGCTCACCAGCGCTGTTGCTGATACTGGCTGGAAGCGCCTGGGCCGCGCCTGCTCCCCCAGTGCCGCTGTCCCCTTCGCCAGCCGCTGCCATACGCGCAGCAACCCTTCTAGCTGCGGCCAGCAGCGGCCATGGTCGCTTTGCCACAGCCGCCATCAGGTCCCGCCGCACCGCATCGACAACGGCGCTGCCGCCCCCCACGCCCGCTCCTGGCAGGAGCAGCAGCTCCAGCAGCCGGGCCACAGCTGCATCTAGCACCAGGTCAGGGGGGCCGCCGCAGCCCGGCGCGATGACGGCGCAGCACAGCAGGCCCAGCCGCAGCGGTTGGGAGGTGTCAGCTGCAGCCGGACCTCCCAAGTAGTTGGTGGCCGGGTCGATTGACCTCAGGCTGCGGGTGAGCAGCGCGGTTAGCGCCGCCGCTGCGCGTCGCTGCTCGGGCTGTTGCTGCAGGGGTAGCGTCCCGCCACGTTCCAGGGTCAGACGCGAGGCTGATGCGGGCGCCGGCAGCAGCGCCGCCAGCAGCAGCTGCACGGCGCGCTCCACCTCCACAGCAGGCACCAGGCCCGCGCCAGGTGCAGGCGCTGCGGTCCCAGCATACCGCTGCATCCACTCTGACAGCCATGCTGCCCTGCTACGCCTCCGAGCTACGGCTCCCCGCCATCCGCGCTGGATTGTCGTGGCCGCACGCTGCTTAAGCCGAGCGTCGCTTCGTGCAGCCCGCTGCTCCTCTGCAGCGCGCAGCACGTCCTGCCTCGTCTGTGCCTTCAGGCTTGCGCCGCCAAGGCTGACGCTCACATCGCGCATGGCCCTACCCCGATCCGCGCCCACGCAGTGGCGCAATGTGTGCGCTAGCCACTCGTCAGGACGGCCTTGATGTGCCCGCCGACGCCTAGGCTGCACGGTCGGATCTGCGCCTCTAGCGCGCACGCCAACGCGAGCGCATCACTGAGGACGCGTGGTGCCTCCGTACATGTGGCTATTTTTTTCTTGATTTACCGGAAGAGTGGGCGACTGCGTGGCATAAGGCCTGTTGGTCGGCCTAACCTGACGCCGATCTTGCGTTGAACTCACAGCAGTATAATAAAACAAACTATTACATTTGCTGTGATTGTGTACAGGGCTAGTGAGGGTCCAGGGGAATCCGAGCTACCGGCACGCAGCGCACATGTGCGGTACCCAGGTGTGGCAGTGTCACCCAGGTGGCGGCGGAGATATCATACAGTAGCTCTTCACGGCAGTCTCGCACTGACGCACAAGCACTTCCGGGTCCTTGGCATGTCTGAAGGGCAGAGAACGGTGTACGTTTACATGGATATGATACTCGTTGCACGGCGCGTGTGCGGCCCGTTGTGCTGTGCTGGGCAAATGAGGTCGCGTTCTGTCTCGACCAGATTACTGAGGAAGCCCACAACCAACATCCTGGTTTCCAGTACCAAGTATACACCCTGAAAAAACAGAAAAACCTCTAAGTCAAACTGCAGCTCAAAAATTTGGACGCAACCGAGACGCGGCCAGCCAGCCGGCCAGACGACGCCGTGTGGCTGCTGCTGATCGCTGTGGAAGCTACAAGCTCGCTACCAACCGCGCGCAACCCCTGACCCCATCAGAGCCGCGAGCGGGGCACGCGCTTGACAGCCGCCAGCACCTCCTTGCTCCCCCCCGCAGCGTTGGCCAGCTCCAGCTTAGCCAGCGTGCCCAGGTGCACTTCATCGGGGCCGTCGGCGATACGCAGCGTGCGCGCCGCCGCCCAGAGGTGCGCCAGGGGAGTGTCCTGGCAGACGCCTGCGCCGCCATGCACCTGGATGGCCGAGTCCAGCACCTCCAGGGCCACCGCGGGGGCTGCCACCTTGGCCGCAGCAATGGCACCCCTCGCCGCCTTGTGGCCCACCCTGCGCGAGGTGGTCAGCGGGGGTTCAGCGGCGTCGCACGGGGTGATAGGGCGGGGCGCGCGCGGCTGCGGCTTGAGCACACCTGCAGCGCCGGCCCGTGTTCTAAACCGGGGTGATTTTCTCCCACCCTCCTCCTCAACCCCCGCAACCCCAAGGGCAGCTCACTCGTCCAGGGCGTGCGCCGCGGCCAGCACCAGCAGCCGCGCGCCCTCCAGGGCGATGCGGTTGCGCGCGAGCTTTTCACGCAACCCGCCCTGTGCCGCCAGTGGCTTCCCAAAGGCAACGCGCGACAGAGCCCTCTGCGCCATCAACTCCAGGCCACGCTCCCCAGCACCAATCAACCGCATGCAGTGGTGCAGCCGCCCAGGGCCCAGCCGCCCCTACGAAGCGCCAAACAGGTGAACCATGCGTTTGCATCGACGTGAGCGGAACGATGTTGCTATCGTGCTGGTTTGTATAGTCGGCACATGCAGCCATCAAAGCATGCAGTTGAGTGGCATGCCAGCCCAAGCGAAAAACGAAAAACGACAGCCATCTTTCCAACAGCCCGCCTCCGCTGCTCTTCACACCTGTGCGATCTCGAAGCCGCGGCCCTCCCCCAGGAGCAGGTTGCCATCAGGCACTGTGACACCGTCAAAGTGCACCTCGGCATGACCATGCGGGGCGTCATCATAGCCGTACACTGCATAGATATGCGTTTGCGCACATGCACAAACATTTTTGTTGAGCAGCGGGTGAGTCCAATTTCGATGAAGAGCAGGGACAGTGGCACCATTTGACCTCCATTCAAGTGCAGTGCTTTCGTGCGCTTGGACTTCAAAACCAATGCTTAGCCCGTCCAACACAATTCATCTAGTCATTGCAGGTCGTCACTCCTCCCCTTTCACATCACCCCCTCAAATCCCTTGGGTTCTCACCCAGCATGGGCCGCACGACCTTGACCCCAGGCGTGTGCATGGGGACCAGGATCATGGACTGCTGCAGGTGAGAGGGCGCTGAAGTGTCGGTCTTGCCCATGAAAACAGCCACCTTTGAAGGCAGAAGGGGGGGAGGGGAGACAACAGGGATAAAAAGAGAAATTCAGCGAGGCACTTGTGGCAGCAGCACGACTCTTCCAAACAACGGTTGAGTCCAGGATAGAAGGAAGACCTGCGGCAAATGCAACCAGCACAGGACACTGCTGGTGAATCACGCCACCCAGCGTAACGCCAAAGCCTGACCTGGCATCGCGGGTCCATGGCACCGCTGGTCCACCACTTGACGCCCGACAGGACGTAGCCACCGCCCGGGGCGCGTTTGATGGAGGCCGTGATGTTTGTGGCATCGCTGGAGGCCACCGCCTTCTCGGTCATGGCAAAGCACGAGCGGATGGTCCCGCGCAGTAGAGGCACCAGCCAGCGCTGCTGCTGCTCCGGTGTCCCGTACCTGGCAGGCACAAGCGAGAGAATGCGGAGGATATGAGGTGCATGTAAGTAATAGTAACATGCAAAAATTTCACATGCTTGTGGGCATGCCGGGAATTTTATAACAAGTCAATCGGGTAGGTGGAGCCAACACAGGACCTGGGGCAGGAAATCGCAAGTGCCCTCTGCCATCAACGGACCCGCTCATCTACCCACCGTGCCAGCACCTCCATGTTGCCGGTGTCGGGGGCGCTGCAGTTGAACACCTCCGGCGCCCACACGCTATGGCCCATAGCGCAGCACAAGTGAGCGTAGTCCAGGTTGGACAAGCCCGCGCCCAGCAGCGTGGCCCGCTCGACATCGGGCACCTCTGGCAGCAGGTGGCTCAGCCCCTGCGCCATGCCCCCCGGCAGCCACAGGTTCCACAGGCCTTCCGCCCTGGCGCGTGCCTTGAGCTCCTCCATCAGGGGGTGCACACTCCACCGCGCGTCACCCTGAGCGTGTGCAGACAGCACTGCCTCCGCCGGCAGCACGTGCGCCGTTATGAACGCGCGCACGCGCGCTAGCAGGTCGGCGGCCCCAGCGCTGGGGGCGCCCAGCGATGGCAGCCCTACTGGTTGCCTTGATGGCGTGCTGCTGCCCCTGCTGCTGCCCCTGCTGCTGCCGCTGCCGCTGCCGCTGCCACTGCCGCCGATGCTGGCGTCCGCATCCGCGCGTTCCACGATGGCAAGGGCCGCGTCCGCAAGGGCCGCAAGCACCTCGTCGCGCGACAGCGCTGCAGCGTGCGCTGACGACGCATTGCCCTGCTTGGCGCGCGCCTGCACGCCCGCCAGGATGGCCAGCAGGCGGAACAGCGCAAGAGCAAGGTAGAACGCCCAATCGCGTGGTGCAGGCGGTCGCACCCCACGTGCTGCGCAGTAGCGTGCCAGCAGCGCCGCCTCGGTCGGCACGCGCTCGGGCAGGGGGCTGGACAGGCGCATAGTTGCCAGCTGCTGTGGCATGTGGTACGCGAGGCACGTGTAGGCTACGTCGGCCCAGGGGTTGCCCAGGGTGCAGAGCTCCCAGTCCAGCACGGCGCGCACCTCACGGGGCGGACAGCGAGTGACAGGGAGGGCATGTCAAAGGGGGTGACGGGGAAGGCTGCCCCATGCGTGTGGACGGACAGATTTGCATGCTGGGCCAGGCGGCAGAAGAAGGGGAGTGCCATGCGCCGCCCTGCACGTGTGATCGGCATAAGCAACTCTCACGCTGACCCCCCCAAACCGTCGCACCCCTGGCAGTACACATCCCAAGCTTCAAACAGCTGTGTCCCTGCGGCAGCGCCCTCACCCTCATGGCGCCATCAAACACGAGGTTGTCCAGACGGTAATCGCCGTGGACAATGGACGGCCGGGTCACCACCGAGTCCTCGGCTGGCACGTTGGCCCGCAGCCACTCCACCAATCGCGCCACGCGCGGGCAGGGCGCCGCCACTGATGCGGCGTACTGGCGCGCCCAGCGCTGCACCTGGCGTTCGCAGTAACGCGACGGGTCGCCAAAGCCGGCCAGGCCAACGGCGACAGGGTCGACTGCGTGCAGGGCTGCTAGGGTGTCGGCCAGGCCTGCGTATGCGGCCGTGCGCTGCGCAGGGCTGGCCTTGGGCATGCCGGGTTCCGTGAAGATGGTGCCCTCCGCAAACTCCATCACGTAAAAGGGTGTACCCACAACAGACGCGTCCTCGCAGAGGACCAGCGGCCGTGGCACGGGAACGTTGCCGGCGGCGGCGAGCGCGGCCAACACACGGTACTCGCGCTCAACAGCGTGGGCCGATGCCAGCAGGCGGCCGGGCGGCTTCTTGCGCAGCACCAGGCGCGTTGCCCCAGCTTCCAGCAGGTAGGTTGGGTTGCTGCGCGTTGACATGGACAGGGGCAGTGCACATCGCGTTGGCTGCGCTGGTCTGCATAGTCGAGACTGCGTTCCGTCAAGGCGCAACACGTCAAGTACCAACACCGCACACACATGAACGAGCATGCCCCTGCAAGGCCTGCGCACCTCTGTCCATGGGCAAACGCACGCATGCGCAGCGGCCCGCGCTCCGCTGCGACCGTTGGCACTGTGCGGCGCAGGTAGGCCAGGAGGGCGTCAGTGTCCAGCCTGTGCGCTGGGCGCGGCTCCACCACCGCGGAAATGGTATCTAATTGCGCCATACTCGTGCCGCTCGCGTGATTTCAGGGTGATGCACGATGGCCACAATCGGGGAGATCGCCCGGGCTCGGAGCTGGCTGGGAGCGCCTGCAGCTGCGGCGAAACTAAACTAATTTGAGTAGAATTCAATCCCAGCTCGCAGGTCAGCCTGGGAACATGCACAGCTCACATGGGCGGGAGTTGTCGTGTGTACAAGTGATGCATGCCACGTCGTGGCGCGTGGCGACAATGCGTGCTCGGCTCCAGGCAAGCCGCGTGCACGACCCCATGTCCTTCATCTGTCCCTGATTGCATGTTCAACAGGTTTGTGTGTATGGAGCCCCTCGGTCGTGCCACCTCATATCGTACCGTTGCTTCATGGTTGATGCCAAGTCAACATCATCAAAGGTCAATGCTCAGCCTGTTTTGTTTGACAACTAAGCTACCGCAGCCTCAAGGACCTTGCAAGCCCAGCTAATTTGACACTTAGAATCTCAGCGAGGCAATGGCTTCTTGCAGTGAAATTTCGTAGCACCAGCCGCCCCCTGCTTCTTGTGACGAACCCAGCCTCGACGGACATCTGCCGGACCTGCTTTGACTGCTGGTGGCTACGCAGTGGAACTGCAAGCCTTCGACGTAGCTACAACAGCAGCAGTCTCTTGTTGACATTCGGGTGTCCCTCAGGTCAGCAATGCAAGTACTGTGGAAGCGGCAAGCAGTCGCGAAGCAGCTGTGTCGATCGAGCCTGCCAAGCAGGCTTGAGGCTACGCGTGAGACACTGGCCGTGAGCCTGGTGTCTCAACGCTGTGTCAAGATGAGCAGCATCACAACTTTGTTTTCTGATGCAGGCTCCTACAGATTGTGGATGCACGCATACATGTGTCCCAGCATTCAATGGTCTTGGTGACCATGCGCGAGGCTCGCGTAGCCCTGGACGAGGCTTGCACGCGTGCGTGTTACCCTACCCTTCACAACTAGCAACCTGTCCACCCCTTATCCACAGCCCTGGAAAGCGCTGCTTACAGTCCCTGGTGAACAGACCCCCACAGGCCAGCAGGCAGGCAGCACGGCCAGTATGGCTTTGGCAATGCCAAGGGCCTTGTTGCCGTCCTTGTTGTGCTGCAGCGCGCTGCTAGTACCCCAATCCATGCGCCCTGCTGGGGCACGAGCTCTGGACCGGTGAGGCGCATGTGTCGCACCCTTGGTATATGCGCGAGGGGTTGGGGCCTTGGTTGGCTGGGGGTGGCTGACGTGTTGCGGGGTGCTAGAGGAGAGCAGGATTGTTCTGACCGAGCAGATGAAAGCAGAATCCTAGTATTGGGGGAACAGGACGCACTATACAGCCCGGGCAAGTGTATCCTACATACCGTATCGACAGTTCCACATCATCTAAATAACCTGCTGTGTGATAAGCTGCTGAGCAACAAGCTGGCACAACACTCACCTGTACTTTTGCGCGTTGTTTGGAGACAATTAACACCCCTGCTTTCATCACAGGGGGGGTCACAGTCAAAACCTCGCCGTGGATAAGGGATTGGGCTGGATTTGCCCCGCCATTGCGCCAAGCCAGAGGGGTCCAACCTGTGAAAGAAGCTTGGGTTGTGTTTCTTAACTGCGTAGGTGTGTCAAGGTGCCCACACAGGGTTTGTTCATCGCAGTCGTCAGCATGCCGAAACGTTGAGCGTGCTCTCCTCTGCAGGGTTTGGCCCGCGACACGGCCACACGGCGCCTCCTGGGATATCACCAAGGTTGCCACTCATCATCATACAATCAGTCACAGCCCTCACTTCCTTCCAGGCAGACATCGTGCCTGGTCAACAGGGGCGCGCAGGTGCATCAAGGTGAGTGCAGGAGCAGCTGCAGGCGGCATTGCGGGTGGTGGCCAAGAGAAGGACCCTTTGGGTAGGGCACTGTAGCGCGCGTCAACAGTTGAATTCAGTTGTCAAATATTGCACATACGCGCTCATGTTACATTCCCAACCCGTCAATGCGATCTGGTGAGTGCAACACGCCTGCTGCGCGGCACGTCCATTGCGACTGTGCGCGAGTGGCATGCATGTAGCCGAATGGACATCTGCATACTTCTCAACGCTGCGATACGGGGCTCTCACGGACTGCACACCCCTCGTCACGCATATCACTCCGTGGCTCGCCTTGTCCTCGTTAGGTAGGCTCGTGGCAATGTCCAGGTGTTCAGCCTGCATGTATGGCCAGCGCAGTATGATGCCGCTGCGGCTCGCTCGTCGGCAAGCTGCAGTGCGGATGTCAGCACGAGCCGTGGTCTCAGCGGCACTGGTAGGGGACAAGGGTGGCGACGCAGCAGCCCCCCACGACTCGCAGCAGCTGCCAATCCCAGGCGACACGGGGCCGACAGCCAGCAAGGGACCCGGCCGCAGGCAGAAGCGAGCCGGTGTGCACGACCCCGCACTGGACCGCGAAGGAGGCGGCAGCTTGGTACCCCAGGCTCGCACAGCGCGCAGGCAGCGCACACCCGCCGCGGCAGCAGATTCGGCGGTAGAGGTCAGTGCAGAAGGCGATGTTGACACCCCCCCACGCAAACCGCGGCGGCGGCGCACGGCACCTGCGGCAGCGGAGGTGGGGCAAGTCGCAGCGGCAGCAACGCCCGGGCGCGACGACGTGTCCAGCCTGGCGGCTCTGTTTGCAGAGGCCCTCGCGCCCGCCGGCGCTGGTGCCAGCACTAGCGCAGCGGCGCCGAAGAAGCGCGTTCGGAAACGCAAGGCAGCCCCGGTCGATGGTGACAGCACTCCAGCCCTCACCCTGCGGCCAGACCCCTGGGCAAGGTATGCAGGCCTGTTTGCGCCCGCTGCTGCGCAGCGAGTGCAGAGCAAAGGCGGGGCGGACAACACAGCAAGGACAGCAGCGGCGGTCAAAGGAAAATCGGGGGCTAGCGGCGGCGGCAGCGCTAGCAGTCCATCCGCAAGCAGCAGCAGCACCACCAGCGCCAGCAGCGGGCAGCACCAGCACGCGCCGCCAGCGCGTGCCAGCGCCCGCACTGCAGACTTTGCCGAGCGCACACGGGCGCTGTTTGGCGGGACGCTGGCCACCGGGCGCCTGTCTGTGCGGCGCCTCCCCACTGGCACGCCCCTGGTGCCGGCTACCCCAGCACCCAGCGCAAAGGCAGCGGCGCAGCGGCTGGCCTCGGGGCTCTTGCAAGGGCCCTCCTCTGACAGGCAACGCGGCCCCAAGGGCAAGCGCCGCGGCGCAGCAACAGAGGCGGCGGCTGCAGCATCGCAGCAGCGCGTGTACGTGCCAGAGGCAGCCTCCACAGCGGTCACGCTGGGCGGGGATGCAGCGACTGCTCGCAGCGAGGCTCGCTCGGAGGCGCTGCGGCGCATGCGCGTGCGCACGATCCGCGCCTACGACGAGCTGCTGGCCCGCGCCCTGGAGTGGCAGGCCCAGGGGCGCCACTACATCCTCGATGCACCAAGCCACCTGCCCGTTGCAGTGCAGCGCGGGTGGTCACCGCAGGGCGGAGGCGGTCTGAGCGACGAGGACCACCTGCGACTGGCCACCATCAGCGCAGAGGTGCAGCGCGCACTGGGCGTGGCGCTGCCTGAGCGTGCGCTGCGCGGCGAGCGCGGCGCGCTGCTGGCGGCGCAATCTGCGCGCCACGTCGCTGTGCGCCTGTCCGAGTGGGTTGGCGTGTGTGGCGCAGACTACGTGCGGCAGCTGGTTGGCGTGGAGCCGTGCGTGCTGGCCGCTCCGCCCCAGGCGCTGCTGTCGACGCTCGAGGCGCTCAACCGCCACGCTGAGCTGGAGCCCCAGGACGCCGTGACCTACCTGCTGCGCCACCCCGCCCTGGTGGGGCTGAGCCCCAGTGAGCTGGAGGAGCGGCTGGAGGGCGTGGCAGCAGCAGTGGGGCTGGCGCCGGATGAGGCGCGCAAGATGGTGCTGGAGCGGCCAGAGCTTCTCATGGTGAGGCGGGCGGGCAGGCAGGCTTGGAAGAGGGCCCGCAACGTTGGTGGCTGCGTCACGATTGGGTGCGGGTTGTGGCACACAGCACACCCACCCCTGTGGGCGGCCATGCCACATGGGCGTGCTGTGGGATATCAGGCAGCAATGCAAAGGGGAGCAGGGGGCAGGGAGCTGGCGCTTTGTAGCCTCCCAAGCTGACCTGTCTGCACCCGCCCAACTTGGCTGGCATCTTGCCTTGATCACAGCTGACGCCGCAGCGCCTGGAGGAGACGATGGAGATGGTGGAGCAGCTGCTGCCGGGCGTTGACGACAGGCTGCCCTCCATGGTGGCGCGCCGCCCGCAGCTGGTGCTCCGCTCGCCGCGCACACTGGCCCGCGACATCCGCCAGCTGGCAGCCACCCTGGGCCTCACCAACTGGGCTGCTGGCCGCCTCGTGGCTGGCGGCTCCGGCATTCTGGAGCTGAGCCTCACCACACTCGCGGCCAGGTGGGGCCCCCTGTTCTGGTCATACAGTGTTTTGTTGTGCGTGCATGCACGCACGTGCATGTGCATGTAAGTGTGCGCACGTGTGGGTGTGATCCTGGCTGTGGGTGGGGGTGGGGGTGTGGGTGTGGGTGTGCATGCATGCGCGCTGCGTGCGCGCGCCCACTGGGGAGGGGAGGCATCGAGGCCACGCCTGGTGAGTGCTCTGCTGCTTGCTCACCCAAGTTGGCCAGGGGTGCTGAACCTGTCCTCACACCCACTCGCGTCCTCTTGTCATCCTCATCCCCTAGGCTGCAGCGGCTCAAGGACCTGTGCTCAGCCCACCCTTCATGGCGGCAACAGCTCACAGCAATGTCGCCGGGCGGGCTCGGACGGTGCCTGCGCTGCAACGACGCCGCTTTTGAGCGGCTGTCCCTGCTGGCCGCGGCCGGCCTGGCGGGATCGCGCCGCGTGCCCAAGGTGAAGCGCATCCTCACGCTTCCTGCCGGCCGCTTCGACGCCCTCTTCCAGCAGCTGGGCCTAGCGAGGGGGGTGCGCTCTGGGGCCGCGGCCACGGGCGCAAGCGCCGCGAGCAGCGACAGTGCACCCGGCGCCCGGGCTGCCAGCGATGAGTCCGACTCGGATGACGAGGAGGACTCTGGAATGCTGTGGCCGCCGGCAGAGGACGCGCGCAACGGCCCCACGGCCCTCAACATCAGCGGCGGCAGCAGCCTGGTGGTTGCAGGCATCGTAGCTGAGGAGCCTGCCAGCATGGAGCTTACAGAGGACGCTAGATCGCCTGTTCTGTCGGCTGTGTAGGCGCTTGCTGCAGAGCAGAAAGTGGTGTAAAATCGTCCAGCAATGTGATACGCTCATTACATGTGGAGGTGACTGCATGTCGGACCAGGCCGATGAAAAAAGACATCAAAATTGAGTAAGTGAAGCCAGCAGCCTTGTCTGGGGCACAAAACATCAAGATCCTGTGTGTGCGGCCTCATGCGAGCCCAAGGCACATTTGCACGTAACAAGCCGCTCCTCCTTGCTCAGGTTGTCAAGCATCTAAACTGCCATGCCCTGGACGCAGGGGGCCAGAGGGGGGAGAATTACAGCAGGCAATCAGACAGCGTTACAGAGAAGCATTAACTGACAGCCAACAGCACGCAGGATGCTTCAAGCGTATGCGCAGACGCTAAAGCGACGGGGTCCCCGCTGCCGTCGCTTGGGGGTGAAGGCTGTTTGTGCGCGAAGGCCACACCGGTGTCTTGCCCCTTCGGCTCACCATGAGCGCGCCCCGAAGGAAGTTGAGCAGGAAGAAGGCCAGCATGGGGGAGAGGTCGATGCCGCCTATGGCCGGAATGATCCCGCGGAACATCTGGAGGTACGGGTCCGTCAGCTGCAGGGAGAACAGGGGGAGGGTGGGTGAAGGGTGCAGGGGAAAGCAGAAAGCGCGCGCAATGGAGGGTGGGCGGCGAGAGCCACATGCGAGTTAAGTTTCAGAAGTCAACCCCGGCGCCTCAGCAATCATCGCACAGCGGCAGCCGTTTGGGACACACGCAGCCCCGGTTGCGATCCCAGAGCGCTCACCTGGCGCAGCGTGTTGAAGGGCTCCCCGAACCAATTGATGTTGCGGAACCAGCTCAGCAGAATGCGCACCGTCAGCACCACCAGGTACACCTTTTCAATGATGCCGCGAGAGAAGCATGGTGGACACGGACAAGTGATTATTGGCAGCACAAGGAAAGCGCCACATGCTGTGGGCGGCGCCGCTGCCGCCCGGGCCCACCCCACATGCTGTGTCCCACCACGCCGCCCCACTCCACCCCCTCACGTCAACGGCCTTCGCCAGTCCAAAGTAGATCTCGCCCTGTGAGCTGGTGAACGAGGTGGACGCCAGCGGCAGCACGCCCGCCAGGCCAGCTGCTTGCTGGCGCAGCTGCTGCCCTGGGGTGACCTGGCAGCCGAATGTGTGCAAGGTGGCGGTGTGAACCGCCTTTGCAGTGCGAAGCTGCCAACCTGCTATGCATGAGGGAGCCCTCAATCAGACCTGTTGCTAAATGGTAAGGCCTGCATCAGGATCTTCTGAGCGCTCACACCTGCCCCACTGGGCCCTCTAAACTCGCCCACCTGTTGCTCCGGGGGCGTCGGCTGGGCGACATCCGACGCCTGAGGAGGCTGTGCGTCCGCATTCGGCTGTGTATGCACCAGCGGCGCGAATAGCCGCCAAGGCCCCGGCAGTGCAGCAGCACGAGGATGCACGATGCGCGCTCTGGCCGCACGCATGCACGAGCCTTGTGCCCGCAGGCTGCTGGAGGCTGCGAGCGTGAAAGGCAGCGGTGGTGGGAAGCCGGACGCGTTGAGCAATGGCCAATTAGTAGGCCCGCACAGCTAGCGAGTCCGGCATGCCCTCACCGAGCATGGCTGCCTGGCTGGCTGTGTGGATTGCTGTGCAAAGCCTTGATTGTATACTCAGACGCAGCGCTTATGAGACTTCGTCTAGCAATCCTGCCTGTTTGATGGTAACCCGAGGCGAGGTGACAGTGAGATCGACGGGGACGCGCTGCGCAGAGTTGTACTCGGCATTGCAAGCAACGAGCTCCATGCATCATTGAGGTGATGAAGAACCCTGCAAGATCGAGAGGGGCCTTGTACGCCCGCCGACATGACGTGTGTTGCGGTCATCACGCCCAGCACACATCAACACAAGGATGATCTGCGCGCACCGACGCTTGGACGTGCTGATGTGTTGTCACGTTGCCGCACAGTTTTTGTGACGCAAAATGCCAAGGCCATTGTGAGTATGCCATCCCCCTTGGAGCTCCTGCCAAACCCCGCTACATACAAGGTTGCACTAGTGCGTAATGAGGGGGTGAACGCTCGAATGTATTGCTATGGCTCAGGTTGTCTCATCAGATCTCGCAACATCCTGTATGCCGAAACTCAATGACAAGAACCCCACAGTGATAATTGGGCACCCCCAGCTGGGGTGGCTGCAGTCAGTCAGGAGCTGAATGGCTCGCTTGGATGTCAGGCTGTTGAACAGTTCCCGGCACCCACCAGCCTCTCGAGGCTGCCGGCGGCGCCGGAGGGTGCTTGAGGATACCCGGGAAGGGGAAGCAGAATGCCAGCCGCTGGGCACCTACTTATGCACATGCTGTCCGGCACTGAACACGGCCGATTGTTTGGAGGCTCCTTCACACCCTGCCCGCCCTCGCGGGGCATTGGTTGGTGGTGACCCTCCGCCAAGAGGATGGGGTCTCGCCAACGACATGCGTCACAAAATCTTGCGAAGCGCCTCGCCAGTGCCCACAAAGTGCAGAGCTGTGTCGTCCAATCAATTGTGCCTGGTGCCATGGCTCGCTAGCCCAGCTGGCGTGTCAACCCAGCAGCAGTTGACCCTATCTGGAGTGATGTTTGTGTGCCTCTGAACTTCTTCTGGTCGAAATGGGACCGCGCCTGCCTCAGACAGCTGTGGTGTCGCTCGGTGCCGCCAGCAGGTGGACAAACACATGCAGCAACAAGGTCGTGCAAGTTGGCAAAATGCAGTGTGTCTTGCTCACCAAGGCTTCAACCCCGTCATTTGGTGTTTGCTAACATCTTGGCCTGCAAGCTGATGTATAGACCCCGATCCGTCACTCCACCATTGCCTATGACTAACTGTCTTGGCCAGCCTTGGAGAGCGACAAGGTGGCCGTTTGCAGCTACGTCAAGGTGACGCGCAATGCACAGGAACTTTGTAAGATCACCCATCATTGCGCCTGCTACGCCAAGCGTAGCAGGCAACAAGAAGTGATGCAGACAGAGCGTTGTTGTGCAGAGCGGCAGCAGCAGCAGCAGCAGCAGCAGCAGCAGCAGCAGCAGCAGCAGCAGCAGCAGCAGCAGCAGCAGCAGCAGCAGCAGCAGCAGCATGTCATCCCCGTCATGCTGTGGACATGAGCAGCACTGTATATTGATAATGCAGGACCAAAGACAGCGTACGAAGCCCTGCAGCAAAGCACACCTGGCCACATGCCACGTTTTTCACTACCACCAGCTGCACAGCCCACCCATCGCAAGGCGCCTGCGCTGTGTATGTGCCATCTGGAGCAGAGCTAAGCATGAAGGCGAGGGGCCACCATAAGTTTGCGAACCATCTCAGGTAGAGCGGCGCGGAGGTGTGCAGGGACTTGCTTGGTTGCCACCACAGATCAGAGGGTGCCCTTGCATTGGTTGGGCTACTTTGACAATGGCTGCCACGGTAAGACCAGCCTTGCGATTACAGATCGCATTTCTCACCAGGCAACAGCCCAAGCGGATGAGGCTTGTCCGTGCCCCGGCACTCCCACATGCTGGGCGCCGCAGCTGCGATGTGCAGCACCACCACGCAAGGCATGCTGTCTGTATTACACACGAGCCGGTCAAGTCCAGCCCGTGGCCAACCAAGCCTGCAGAGGCAGTCCCAGCGGCCTCGGGCTTTCTGTGCGGCTGCCGGCCTCTTTGTCACCGCGGCATGACGATGTTGAGCCGCTGCGGCGGGGTGCCCCCCGCGGCCACGTCCACAATGAGGTAGGAGTAGTCCCAGGCCCCGCCGTCAGCCTTGTACATGTCCGCGTTAACCAGCGCGCTGCCCCCGGGGCCACGCATGTGGAACTGGAGCTGCGATTTGGATAGGGTCGAAATGTCAGAGCAAGCGGCGGCTGGTGTACAAAATGGAAGTGGCAGGCCTGGGTCAAGGAAAATGCAGCAACCAATCACATGCTGCCAGCTCCTTAGCAGAGGAACGACGTTGAGGGTTGGGAAGAACCCAGCCCAGTGCAGACTTGAGTAGCCCATTCCAGCGCCAGAGCCGTGCAGGCTCACCCGCACGTGCTCCCGACCCTCCTGGTCTTTGTAGACCTGATGGGGGATAGTCTGACGCGCAGAGCGGTTGTGCGTCTCCTGGCCGTAACCTGTGTGTGTGTGCGTGTATGCGCGTGCGTGCGTGCGTGCGTGTGTGTGTGTGTGTGTTTGTGTGTGTGTGTTGGTCTTTGGCCAGTTTCAAAAATCCCCACCTGAAGCCATTGCCGCGCTAGTGGCCAACTTCACTCTGCCTCATCCCCACACTGTACAATTACAATCAGCCCTTCTACCAAGCAGCTCCCGCATGGTGCCCCCCCCCCCTTCACCAGTGATGGAGCTGCCAAGGCGCACTGTAATGCGCGGGTCAGCTCGCAGCTTGTCCAGGGCCGCGTTGAAGCACTGCTGCTGCACTGGCTCCAGCACCAGAGTGACCACAAAGTTGTACACAAAGTAAGCCAGGCACTGGCAGTGGGACGGGGCGGCAGAGGTGTGCTCTTGAGGCTGGCTGGCGGCTGGAAGGATGATTGCTGTGGCGATCAGGAACGCATGGCGCAAGGTCTCGACCGCAATCAATCCAGCAGATGCTGGCCACAAAGCAGTGGACGCGGGTAGGGTGCCACGGCTGCTGTCATGCCATCCATCCCTCCCCTCACATGCGCTGCACCCCGACGCCCACCCCAAATGCTGCAAGGATTATTGCGGTGTAGCTGGTGCCCTCCACCACGCCAACGGGCCGCTGTGGGATCTTGTCTGTGATGGCGTTGATCTTCTCATCAGTCAGCTCCAACGAGTCAAACCTCTGGGGGCGACGCCGCATAGGTTGAGCGTACAATTCTTTAAGAGATGAGCGGCCCCTGCTTGCGCTCACGCTCCAGTAACGATGGCTGTCTCGCTGCCAGGCAATGCACAGGGGCACGTGGCAACAAGTGAGCTCTGCTTTAGTGCCGCAAAAGCAGGTGCGGCCGCGCACCTCTTCCTTGGGTTTGCTGGCTGGGTCCTTCGGCTGCTGCTGCTGCTGCTGCTGCTGGCTGCCACTGGAGTTGCTCAGAAATCTTGCCGCCACTCCCAGCTGCAGGGACAGCGACTGCGCAGTGCGCACCAGGCGGCAAGGGGCGGTGTTGCGTCACGCAATGCACGCGACTCTGCGCCACTGCCAAGCGGCAACAACACGGCTTTGAATCCCCGCTCACGGCAAAGCCCTCCTCACCAGGTCAGCCAGGCTGATCCGGCTGGCGCCTGATGTGCCCATCTCCAGCACACCGACTGCCACTGAACATGTCGCATGGCGCGCCGCTGCGTGCGGTGCACCTGCATGAAGCGGCGCGAGGGCCTGCAGCGTTGACCACCCTGTGCCTAACCTTGGTTTGCACTGCGCATTTCTATCAGCCAGAGACGCACCTGCCCTGGCCGCGTGCTGCAAATACAATGCGCGCTGGAGCAGTAGCCGGCTTCGAAGCGCCATTAAGTCGTGCCAGCTGGTTTGACAAGAACGCGTTGCGAAGTAGGACGAGGGGAGGGCTCGATGGCGATCTAGATCAACACGATGAAATTTGTCGAGTACGTATGTGAAGTGATTAAGCAGGAACTTCGTACTTGATGCAATGGCGCTGATGATCTTGAGGACCCGAGCGCGGCAAGGGCACACCCTGGGCAGACCGCGCAACGGTTGGCGACCTGGCACATGACGCATCCGCTGAAGTGCCGACCAAGCGTGGCTGGTCTGGAATATGAGGATGTGTGTTTACATCAGGACCAAATCCAATACAATCAGAGCACAAATCGCTCCAGCGCCTCTGCCACGCCACCCTCGTCGTTGCTCCCCACCACAACCGATGCGGCCGCCACTGTCTCGGGCACTGCGTTTGCCATCGCCACACCCACGCCCGCATGGCGCACCATCTCTGCAAGTTTGTGTGGGGTAAGAATTGCAGCACAATTCCAACAGTGAGACCGTATGGTGTGGGCTGCCGCAATCGGCGCTGACGTGCACGATGTGGCTGGCGCCCGGGCAGGCAGCTGGTTGCCATGCATCGCGCCGCGTGAAGCCCAGGGCTTGAGACCGTCCCTTTCCGCACCTGCGTCGTTGCCACCGTCGCCAATGGCCATGAGGTCCTGCGCTGCCAGCCCGAGGTGGCCCAGGAGCACTCGCAGCCCTGCCCACTTGTTCACACCCTCCGGCACCACCTCCAGCATCGTCGGCACCGCCTGCATCACCTCGGCGCCGCCCAAACCGCCGCCGCCGCTGTCCCCCAGCAGTGCCGCCCAGTGGGGCGCAATCTCCCGGGCCACGCGTGCCTCGTCGGCCATGAACAGGAGCTTGCGCACAGGAGCCCCACCCAGCAGAACTTCCAGGCTGGGCATGACACGCGCCAGCGGCTCGTAGTAGCGCGCATGCAGCTCCTCCAGCTCGGGAGTCAGCCGCAGCGTCGCACACTCGTCGCCCAGAAACGCGACGCACGAGACATTGGAGGCAGACGCCCAGTCAAAGGCATGCGCCACGACGGCCCCCGGCAATGCGGCATCGCTGAGCTGTGTCCCGTCGCGGCCGTGCACTGCGAGGCCCTGAAGGAACACCCCCGGGCCGCGCGTCGACACCAGCAGGCCGTCGCCTGCAAGGCCCGCTTCCCTGCACGCCGCCAACGCCGCGGGGCGCGCCTTGCCCGTAGCCAGGACGATGCGCACGCCGCGGTCCAGTGCTGCGCGGACGGCTGCTGCTGAGGATGGCAGGATCCTGGAGCGCGAGTCCAGCAGCGTGCCGTCCATGTCGATGGCTACCAGCTGCACTGAGCTGGAACGGAAGCTGGAAGGATCGATCAATGACATGTGATCATTTGGTTTGTGCGAGGGGGTGGTGGGGTAGGATACCAACGTGAGAGCACTGCAGGTGAGAGGGCATGCCAGCCAAAGAAACCACTTTGTCAAGCAGAAAACCGAACACGGCCTGGGGGACGACAAGTGGGCTGCAACCAAATTTAAACAAAGCACCCGTACAAACAACCCACCGCGCTCACCCGCCAGTGCGCGTTATAATGCTGTCTGTGTTGTAGGCCGATGATGCGGAAGCCTGCGATCCGCTGGCCGCCCTGAGGCTGTCGTCGCTGTCACCGCGGTCGTCCTTGCCATCATCACTGCTGCCGCCTGTGGTGCTGCTGCTGTCGGCGCTGCCATCTCCCTCCTGTTCCTCCTCGTCCTCCTCGGCGGCCAGGCTGCCAGCCGCCTCGATGAGGCCCTGCCCTTCCCACCCCAGGGCGGCCAGTATTCCGGCCTCTGCGTCCGCCATGTCGCGCAGCTGCTCGCCGCCCTGCTCGTGGTCGAGGCCCGCCAGGTGCAGGCAGCCGTGCACCAGCAGTATACGCAGCTCGTCATCCAGGGAGTGGCTGCGGTGGGCGCACGCGCAGCCGGAGGGGGCGTCACCGCCAGGTGCGGGGCGGGGGGAGGGGATGCATCAGCCTACCATTGCAGACGCAGGACGTACTGGTGGGTTTCGAATCTTGCCAGAGGGCCAAATACTTAGCTCCCATTCATTTCCCAAGCATGTGCCCTCATCCTACCCCTCATGGCGGTGAGGGTAAGCACGCCAGAGACCACGCGATGTTGCTGTGCCGAGCACAGTACTCCCATCCCTTCAGCCATTCTGGAGCCCCACAAACTGGTTTGGGCATCCTCAAAGCGAGGCGCACCCGCGCTCCGCCGCCTGCCGCGCCGCCGTGTCAAGCGACACCACCAGGTCCCCCAGCAGCTTCACAGGCGGCGGCACCTCCCCTGGCTCGTCAGGAACCTCGAAAGAGAGCACATCGGTGGCCGCGTCCTTGCCCCGGTGAGCCGCGTTGAGGCCGCGGATGTAGGAGTCATCGCAGAGTACAAGGCTGACAGCAGCCAGCGCGGGAAGCGGCCAGCGCGGGCGGCGTGCCTTCTTGGCGGCCAGCGCAAGCGGCACAACTGCGGCGCAGTCGGCCTGCGCACGCTGCAGGAGGGCCTCCAGGGCGGGCGCCGCCAGCCCGGGACCTGAGGGGCTGCCCTCCAGTAGTGCGTCGACCTCCACCTGCATGTCGGACGGCCGCACCCCAGACAGCCGCCGGCCCCAGGGGAAGCGCAGCGGCTTCCACGGGCGCGACAGCGCAAACGGCAGGCCCGATGCGCCGCCAGCCGGCGGCTCCGGGCCTGTCGACGCTGCGGCCGCAATGACTGAAAGCCTACTGCTTTTCCCTGCACAACAATGTTGTACATGCGCTGCGGCAAGGAGCGCTAACGCCCGCGCTCCTCTGATGCGCCAGGCCGGCGACCGCTGCACCGTGCCGGCAACATCAAGGGGCACGGTGGTCAGTGGCCAGCCACGTCTTCCCGCTATCGGCAGACCGTTAATTCCGGCCCTTTGGATGCCACGCAGCATCGAATTCGTGTAAAGGCACCGGCAGCTGGTATATAGGATTCGCTGCAGGCTTACAGGAGACTGTAGAGTGCACACACATGCGTCTTGTGGATTCCATCATTATGACGTTCTCTTTAAGGCAAGCGTTGAGGAGGTCTGAGGGGTGGGTCGGTTGGGTGTCACTAGCGCGGGTGAGACGGCCAGAAGGGTGCATGTGGTACCGGCACGGAACATCACGATGAGCTTACGAGTGATACGCTGTTATCTGTTGTAGTGGACGTTCTTGGACTCTCGTAAACCAAGATTAGGACCCCTTTCCAAGCGCGACCGCAATATTTATGCGCCTAGGCACGCGCGTGGCGCAGTATATCACGTATACAACGACCATTCGTTGCGTATCTGCTCTTCAGTCGTGCGCCTGCTGCGACCCCTGTGCGCTGCTTGTGCTGCAGTGCGCTTTCACGCCAACACTGGGGGCGATAGCAGGGCTCACATCAGCAACGCAGCAGTCAGCTACAATTTGTATCAACACACTAAGTGCACGGCAGCTGTGGCTCAGCAAATCAAGCGGAATCGACACTCCACAAGCAGGCAAAATGGCCGCGCTTGCTGCACGCGCGGCGCTGGGCAACCTGAGCGCCAACTCAACAGCCCTGCTTGTCTGCGACATCCAGGAGCGCTTCCGCCCCGTCATCAGCGGCTTCCCAGCGGTAGGCTTGGGTGCTGGGTACCTGCTTCCATGTTACCGCGTGGACTCTATTGCTCTCCGCACGCGGGAATGCGTGGAGACCAACGTGGTGTGAGCCATGACACCGCAGCATGTTCGTTGGCAACACAGTTTGCAGAAACCACCCTTCTTCCCCGTCTGCTACACAGGTTATAGACACGGCACGACGGATGGTGAGCAGCTGGGTGGCTGGGGCGTGTCGCATGCTGCACCAACTGTGCACATTGACCCCAACAGCTGCCGCTGCTTCCCTGGTGCCGCTGACAGGTGCGTGGCGCCAATGTCATCGGCCTTCCAGGTGCGGCAAGCGCTTATACATGATGGTTGTGTGTGTATGTATGTGTGTGTGTGTGACTTCATGCGCGTGCGTTGTAAGACACGGAGGGGGGCAAGGTTGAGGGTTTGCTGTCATACACGGATGTTGCGTGCAGCCGGTTGCATGGCTCTGGAAGCCTGTAGCCCCCCAAATTCCATTCGCTAGATCCAGGTCCTTCTCAAAGTTGACCACGTATTTTTCCATGCCTACCCTCAGTCGTTGTCACGGAGCAGTACCCCAGCAAGCTGGGGGCCACTGTGTCCGAGCTGAAGGAGGTGCTGCCCCCTGCAGCACCAGTGGTGGCCAAGACGCTCTTCAGCATGCTGACGCCGGAGGTCGACGTGAGCAGCCAAAGGGGCCAGCATTAGGGGGTGTGCAAGCTGTGGGTGCACATCAAGGCGTCATCTGACCTTGCAGGCGGTCAAACGGTGGCTGAGACAGGGAATATTTCCATGATGCCTAGCGCTGCTGGTCTGCCGAGGAGTCACGCCTGTGCCTGACCAACGCAGGATTTCCTGACAACGAACACAGCAATCAAGCAGCTGCTCATCTGTGGTATAGAGACCCACGTGTGTGTGCTGCAGACCAGGTGATTATAGTCTTGCGCCTGCGCATAGCCAGCTTATTACCTCGCATGCTGGCTGTCATCGTGCCTTGCACTGCGACATGTCACCACAAGCTCGCATGCTATTCTTGACAATGCAGCTTGAGCGAGCCTTGACCTGCACCCCCTGCCCAATCCCTGGTTCTATCAACACCCAAGCCTGGACCTGCTTGAGCGTGGCTACGAGGTTCACGTGCTGACAGATGGCGTCAGCAGCCAGCGCACCACCGACAGGGGTGAGGGCGTGTTGGGGAGGGGGCCAGACGCGCCGTTGCGTGGTGCCACACATTCGCCTCATCTGCAGGCGTGATTCCCAACGACTGCTGCGATGAATGTTATTGGGATGTCATGGCCTTGACGGATATGCAAATGCTTGGGTGATGGTCCCTAGAGGACCACAGACAGGCCCTGGGTGCTTCGGAACTCATGATAGCACTTTTTTTGACAAGGCGTGCTTGCTGCGCCGTGCTCACTGTGCCAATGCCATTCACAGAGGCAGGCCTGGTGCGCATGGCTCAGAGCGGTGCATTTCTCGTGTCAAGCGAGATGGCCCTCTTCCAGCTCATGAAGGTGCGACTGGGATGCCATTGCGGCAAGGGTGATCGAGTGGAACACCAGAGCTGACCGCCCCCAAGCCCCGCTCCTTTCCCTGCTGCTGTTTTCAATCTACTGGACCAACCCGATCTACTTTCGCACGCAATGTCCGGATTTTCTCAGGATGCCAAGGCCTTGGGGTTCAAGGAGGTCAGTGCACTTGTGAGGGAGCCGCGGCCGGAGATACTGCAGCTGCCAGGAATTTCGATGCGAGTGTGAGCATGCAGGCCTCCTATGTCCAAGCCCTCATTTTGCACATTCCAGGTTGCATGCACTGTAGTGTCAACGCTGATGGCCGTCACACCCCAAATGCAAAGGCCTGCACCTGACAGGAGCGGTAATTTACAATTTGGCACAGTTGCTGCTGGCACTCTTTTGTAGGTCATCCTTGCCTCGAGAACAATGTGGCAAACCACCCACGTTGTTGAGTTGAGGAAGGCGTCGCGCACCGGGCGCACCATCTGGGAGCTGTCCTCAGCGCTTCATGTGTGCCCCGCCCCTTTCTTATTTGCAGCACCACAACTATACCATGTCGTGGTCGCAAAAGCAGGTCGAAGGCTGAATCAAACCATCCAGGTTCTCAGCAATCTAAGAGTGTCCACAGCCTTCCATGACAATATACTGTGTCCACGCACTGCTGCATTGCCCCCCTGTTTGCCTTGGATGTGCTGGTGTTCATGCTTGCAATGCACATACGGTTGCACAGCACGGCCAGCACGGAAGCAGACGAGCTGGAAAAAAGCCGCCAGTGCGGCAAACTGGTGTTATGATAGCATAATTCGTATGCACAATTGAACAATGCAGTAAGCGCAGGGCCGGTGATGCCCTGAGTTACAATATTGAAATATGAGATCACGCGCCACAGCCTCAGTCGCCGCAGGATAACAATGCAAAATGAGTGAAAAGCCATGGAAAGCCTTGCGCACACCGGAGTGCATCCAGAACCTGGCGGCGTCGGCGCACACAGCACAACGATGACGACCGCCACAGCGGCGCCGCTGCTGCCGTTCGAGCAGCAAATGCTGAGCGAGCTGCAGCAAGCAGGGGACGCCCTTGTGATCATGGCAGCTGGCCTTACGTGGCACAAGGCAGCCGCCGCGCTTATTTGCCGGCACATGGGATACCCGCTGCCTAGTGGTAGGCAATTTCCGCCTCCATCGCAACCACGACGGCAGCAGCAGCAGCAGCAGCAGCAGCAGCAGCAGCAGCAGCAGCAGCAGCAACAGCAACAACACGGCACAGCTCCAACCTCACCTGCTGGTGCCGCCGCTGAGGAGGGCGGGTTGCAGCAGAAGCAGCAGGAGCAGCAGCAGCAAGAGCACGAAGACAAGCAGCAGCAGCAGCAGCAGCAGCAGCAGCAGCAGCAGCAGCAGCAGCAGCAGCAGCAGCAGCAGCAGCAGCGGGAGCAGGAGCAGGAGCAGGAGCAGGAGCAGGAGCAAGGCCAGGGCCACGAGCGGCGCGGGGCGCTACTGATCATAGGCGCTACGTCAGGGCAGCGCGCCCTGGTGGCGGCAGAGGTGGACCGTCTGGCACCCGGGGCGCCCGCCCCGGTAGAGATCACGGCTGAGGTTGCCAGCGTGGAGCGATACCGCCACTACTGCTCCGGAGAGGCCTGCTTCGTGACGACGCGCATCCTGGTGGTGGACTTTCTTAGCGCACGTGTGCGCGGCGCCATGGTACGCGCCGGGGCAGCTGCCGCGGTCCCGTGGTTTGGGGCCAACGAGTCATGTGAGCCAGTGTGTGGGCCGCTGCGCGTCACGCTGGCATGTATGGGATGGCACCAACACCAGCCAGCTCTCTGCCGAGCCCTCCTCTGCAATGCTGTGGCGCCCAGGTGGCGGGCGTGCTTGTGGCCAATGCCCACAAGGTGACGGATGAGAGCGGAGAGGGCTTTGCGGTGCGACTGTACCGCCAAGGACGACCGGGGGGCCCACTCACCGCCTTCAGTGATTCGCCTCACGCGTTCAGGATGGGCTTCAACAAGGTGACCAGGGGCAACGGGCCATCAGGGGCCAAGGGGCGCGGCATGACGTGCTCCCTGCAAGGCTTCATGCTGGGGAACGTATGGTTGATCCACCGCTTTGAAGCAAAGCAAGCTGTGGTATCCACTGCATGCTTGTGCTGCCCTGCTGGTTTTATTGCTGCTGTGCAACTTCTCTGTTGACAAGGACGTGTATCATGAATAACCCCCCTCCATCCCTACCTACACGCCTCACAAACAGCTGGAGAAGGTCATGCGTTCCCTGCAGTTGCGCAAGCTCCTGCTGTACCCCCGCTTCCATGACGCAGTGGCGCGAGACCTTGGGGACGACCCCGCAGAGGTGAGGCGGTGTACTAGTGTGTGCGCTTGCATGATCAAGGGATATGCAAGCTTACTCTTGCCTGCGATGGATTTTGTGGAGTCGTGCCCTTTCAGGGGCGTGCGGATACTGATTATTTTCAGTGTGTTGGCCATGCAAGTCAGCACAGCCCTTACTTGTTAAGGCCAGCGTGTCCCAGTTGGTTGCAGGCACGTCCGCGCGGAACACCATGTGTGGCCCTGCCCGCTCACCTGACTCTCCCCCCGCCACCATTCCTGCCGCCATCCCGCAGCTCGAGGAGTGGGAATGCCCCATCAGCGACGGGCAGCGCGCCATCTTGGAGGCCATCGCGGCGGTGCTGGGCGCACTGCTCAGGGACCTGGCCCGCTCCAACAGGGTGGACATGTGAGGGGGCATCGCCACTTGACACCAGGCGGCACCTTGGCAGTGGTTGATGTGGCGCCCTCGACCTGCGTTGCAAGGGGATGCGACAACTAGGCCGACCATGCCTGCAGCAGTGCATGCTTGTACCCCCTTGCCCCTCAATTCTGCCCAACAAGGGCGCCCCCACCTGCCTCCTGTTCCACCCTCCCGCTCATGTCCCCCCTCCCCCCCCCCATCTGCACAGCTCCGACCTCCTTCCCTCGGACGCCAGCCCCGCAGCCTTGCTGTCGCGCAACCTGGCATCTGCGGTGCGGCGCCAGCTCGACTCGACCTGGAACGCGCTCCCCTGGCGGGCGCGGCAGTCGGTGGCAGACCTGACTACGGTGCAGGGGCTGGCGGCAGTGGCCATGGACTGCGACGCCGTCACCCTGCTCAGGTGGGTGGGCAAGATGTGCCGCTTTGAGAGAGTCCGAAGCAAGGACATGGCAGGAAACTTACGGAATGATGTCGCGGCGGCTGACGTGCCTGCACCCCTACTGCTGCCTGACTCACACCCCTGCTGTTGCGACACTGCCGCTGGGGCGCGCAACCCAATTACCGCCCCCCATGACCCCCCCCCCTTGGCCAGCCACCTGGAGAACCTTCGCCAGAGCGAGGCGGTGCGCAGCGTGTGGATGTTCATGGACGGGGCCCGCGCCATGTTCAGCCAGGCGCGCAGGAGGGTCTACGTCACAGAGTCGGGTGCCGACACGGCGGAAGGGGGAGGGGCCCAAGCTACGACTGCCGGCAGCACGGGCAGGCAGGGGCGCAGAGGGCGCGGCCGTGGGCGTGCGGCGCAGGGCGGGGCGGAGCAGCACCAGCGGGCAGTCGAGGGAGAGGACCGAGGAACGGCAACTGGCGGACGCAGCAGAGCCCGAGGCCGCGGTGCCAACGGCCCCAAGCGGAAGGTACCCGGTTCCTCCGGCAGCGGCAGCAGCGACGACAGCAGCAGCGATGATGGCTGGCAAAGCGTTGGCGATGGCGCCGGGCGGCGGCAACGGCGGCGCACCTCCCCGCCGGCCGCACCTGCCCCTGCCAGCGCTGCCACTGCCCCCGAAAGTGGGGCTGCCGGCGGCACTGGGCTGCGCATAATCCCCGTGCTGCAGCCGCCATCCAAGTGGGCTGCGCTGGTGGAGGCCCTGGATGACATCCGGCGCGAGCGCCAGGAGATGCGGCGGTACGCAGAGGCGCTCCCTCCAGCCGGCGATGCAGGTGGGGCATTGGCAGACCACCACCATCAGCAGCAGCAGCAACAGCAGCAGCAGCAGCAGTCAGGCTCTGAGCAGTGGGATGAGCCGGATGACGAGGAGGACGAGCAGGCTGAGCGCATCGGGACTGGCAATGGCGCGGTGGAGGTGGTTGACCTGGTCAGCAGCGATGGGGAGGGGGAGGCGGCGCCAGGCGGCAACCGCAGCGGCAGAGGCAAGCCGCTGCAGGGTATGCAGCCGCAGCTGCCCTGGTACTCCCGCTACCCACGATCCGCGCTGCTGGCAGCGACGGATGCGCCAATCCTGGTAGTGGTTCGTGAACCAGCTGCGGCGGAGCAGCTGCGTGCAGTGCTGGCGCGCGGCGGCGCGTCCGTCATGCGCGACCAGTTCCAGAAGTACCTTGCGGCAAAGCTGGAGGGCGCAGCGGCTGCTGGCGGCGGCACCGCCGAGCGGCGGGCGCGTCGCGGGGGCGGCGGCGGTGGTGGCGGCGGTGGCAGCGGTGGTAGGGCTGCTGGCGACGGCGGCAGAGGGGCTGCAGCCGGATCGCGTGGTGGCCAAGGCCGGGGCCAGGGCAGGGGCTTCCGGGGAGATGGGAGGGCGCGTGGCCGGGGCCGGGGCTGGAGCATGGACGAGGATCGTGACAGGTGGGACGTGCCTGTGGCTTTCCAATTGTGTGACCTGTTCCCTCCACACTGCGCTGCTTTGCTCATTTTATAACACATTTGCTGGCTTCTTAGTCGTTTTGTGGGTGCCGGCCGTCTGCTGACGTCCCCAGGCATCCATGTCTGGCCCCACCCCCGCCACCATCCATCTGGACCCCCACACAACATGCACACACTTCCTCTTTCTCTCCCTGCCCTCCAGGGTGGAGGAGAGGCGCGTCATGATGGCCGGCCCCGGCCTCACCCCAGCAGAGCACCAGGCGCTGCTGCACGAGGCGCGGCGCATGAGGGATGATGCGGGGGATGCGTGGCCGCCCACCACAGCATTGGGTGCGGCAGCAGCTGGTGAACACCAGGGCGTGACAGCTGCCAGGGGCGGGCCGGTAGGCAGGGACAGAGATGGCGGGGGCGGGCACAGCCATGCTCAGCGCGACAGAAGCGGCGGCAGAGGCAGGGGTCAGAGGCGCGAGGCACGCACGGCGTCGGCGGCGGCTCACGAGGGGGACGACTCCCCGGGCCGGCTGCGGCAGCGGCACGACGACGCCTCCACAGGCGCCGACGACTCCGCTGCGGCTTGCGCGGGCGCCTCCACCGGCGTGGGTGCTGTTGCCGTCTCCCCTCGAGGCGTGGAGGTTGTGTCCCTGGAGGGGGGTGACCCCTGGAGCCTGTGGTCCCTGAGGCCATCGGCCGTGGTGGCGTACGAGCCGGACCTGGCCCTGGTGCGGCGGCTGGAGGTCTACAAGGTGAGAGGGGGGGGGACGGCGGCGCCACGAGCAGCGCGGTTTTCGGACTGATTATCTGAAGTTTGACTTGGAATCTCATGTGACTGGTTTCTTAGCGGCTCAGAAGAAAATAAAATGAGTGACTGCACGGCTGAAACAGGGTTGCGCCGCCCTGGCCCCGGGTGCGCCGCAGGCGGAGGCGGGCCGTGTCCCCCTGCGCGTGCACCAGCTGTCGTACGAGGACGCACCAGAGGTGGCGGCCTTCCAGGCGGCAGCCAGCAGAGAGGTGAGGCGGGGACGGAGGGCGGAGCAGGAGGGTGGGAATGAAATCAAGTCACATAGGATGGACTACAGCTATGGGCAGGGAATGGGGCGCTGTGTAGTTGGCACCAGGCGTCCTGGCGCGCCTTGCCGCCCACCCCCGCACACGCCTGCTCTGCTCCCAGCCCTAATCACGTGATTATACCTCCTCTCTCCTTGTCCGCAGGTGGATGCATTCGACCAGCTGGCAGAGGGCCAGGCGCGGCTGGCGTTGCCCTTGGACATGGGTGCACAGAGGTACCAACAGGTGCGGCGACGCAGGCGGGGGGTGGGCAAGGTGTCTCTGTGCTCACTAACAAGGTCTGCCTCACACCACCACCGCAGGGTCAAGGCGGCACGCCGCCGACTGCTGCAACGCAATGCAATGCAATGCATTGGGCGGCACACGTTCCAGCACCATGACTGTCCAGCATATTTCGGATGCCTGTACGCCACCTGTCTCACCCCGCCGCCCGCGTCACACACCCACAGCTGGAGCCCTACCGGCTGGCCGACGAGGCCGCGGCCGCTCGCCTGGGCGGCGGCGCCGCGCGGCTGCTGCCTCCGCCCGGCTCCGACCCCTGGGGGCTCGACGTCTTCACCTCCAACGCCCTCACACGCAGCGGCGTTGGGGCAGGGCCGCTCGCGGCACACACGGCGCTCAGCACACGCGCTCAGCGGCCGGCGCCGCGGCTGTTGGTGGTTGATGTGCGCGAGTTCATGGCGGTGCTGCCGGGGGTGCTGCACCGGCAGGGGTTCCACCTGACCCCTGTCACGCTGGAGGTGGGTCGCAGTGGAGCGCGGTGACGGGGCTCTGCCGCTTGAGGTTGATGATGCAGTTGCTGATAGGGAATGAGTCCCTCGCCGCACACCCATCAAGTAGCTCCAAGCGGCTGTGTGCCGCTCTCTGCAGCCGCCCTCTCATACACCTTGGCTCATTGACAGCGCGGTACACGATGCCACTGCCCACCTGACCCGCGCACACACCCAAGCCCCCCAATCCC